CGGGAGCTTATCTTCACCCACTTCCTTTGCAGTCGAGTAGGTAGACGTCTTGCTATTACTTCTAGTATAAAACTCGAGTTGAGGTCACTCATTCGATTCATCGAAATCATTCCATTCTTGTAAATTAGCAAATTATCTAAAAACTCAGTGAGTGCCTGGGAGTCATCCTGTAATTGACCACCATTACCCTTAACAGCCTCGAATAATTTCCCTGCAATCATCGAGGGTCTTCCAAACCTTTGGCGTAATATGCTCATAGCCTCATCGTAGCCCTCCTTTGGCTTCATAAACTTACAGCACTGTATAGCTCTTGCAGCATCTCCAGTGCAATATCTCATCAAATACATTAACTTCAATTCATCATTTAATAAAAACCACTCAACATGATCTCAAACTCCTTTACAAATTGTAAATAATCAGCCGGGTTTCCATCAAAACACCGTGGTTCAAATTTAGGGAGTTTGATGTTCCTATTATCCCTGAACGGCGAAACAGTAACATCAACCATGTCATGCTTAACATCAGACACATCGTTACAATTAACAGACAAGTCACCATGACTTACTTTCCTGTTTGCATCCAAGACACTCTGTCCCTTCTTTGACCCAGGCATTGTTGAACTTGACCCAATTCCAAAAAGTTCCAGATATTGCTTGTTCAAAGAGGACTTGACCGGCACCAGGAAAATGAACGGCGACTATCCAAACTTTCACCAACTGTTTGAATCCGCCAGATCTGTTTCTATCGTCAGAAACTGTCAGCAAAGTCTCATAAACCGTTAATGCCCAGCTCTCGCTACGCTCGGGCCCACGCTGTTCTTAGAAGATTTCTCAGAAACGCTTAGTTATAACGGACGCAAAAACCAAAACACCGATCTGCCGTTTGATATTTCTGTATTGTTACACCAACATATAAAAGGAATAAACGAACTAAGCAACTAAGGTCTGAAAACAAATATTACAATAATAAATCTCTGTATTACTTCTGACGATGTTTCAATCTTCTTTCTGAACAGCGACCGATGAGACGATGACTGTCGTATTGATGCTTCCGCGAAAATTGGGGAAGTTGATTTTGAGCAAACAACCATGAATTGATCGTTCAAACTTCAACTCCATTTACACAATGTGTCTTTCAACTTTTCAAAATACTCAATCTCATCCAATGAAAACCTTCGCTACAAGTTCAGCAACTCAAGCGTCAACTGCATCACGTATTTTTATAAATGAGGTAGCCGAGTTACGATGCGAACTGTCTTAAACACGAAAACATTTGTTAGAGGTTGAAGAGAGCTTGAAAAGTAGCAATGAATTGGTTGGTCGTCTACAGGCGAAGAATAAAAATTTGACATTTAAACTTTCAGTTGCTGAGAATTCCTGTGGAATGAAGGAGAAAGAAATCTGCAGACTGGTAACTCAAATCGTTGAGCTAGAATCTGAGAATAGGCGAAGTAGTGGAAGGATCCGTGAACTTGAATGTTTTGTTGGATCAGCGTCAGGTGTGCAAAAGGATTTAGAACATCAGTGGAGAGTGTTTCGGAAAAAAGTGAGTGAAATGGAAGCTGGCTGGTTGTCCATTCGTCAACAGCAGACTGAGACGAGAGAGCAACTGATTAAAACGGAGGAATTGCCGCATATGCATAGATTGCGTCTGTTGAATGTAGAGCATGCAAGTACCCATGAAAGTCCTGCAAAACTATTCAAATCTCGAATTCTCAGAAAACATGTCCACGATGTCCGCGACTGATGGTGAATCTCTCACTAGTCTTGAAATGGCGGAGACATTCAGCCTAGCCTTTCACAGGCAGCTAAACAGTAACAAGGATATTACCCCCACAGAACATCAAGATTACATTGCTAAACCAACGCGCGAAAACCTGCTGGGTACATGTCAAATTACCCCGGCTATGGTTCTTGTAAAATTGGGAAAGTTGGCTTTGGGAAAGTCTTCAGGTTGTGATGACATCAGACCATCCGTCCTGAAGCAGTGTTCAGAAAGTCACTGCCAACACTCACTTGATGTAGGGAAACTTCCATGTGAATGGAAACGAGCAATCCCCGGTTACAGACCAGTTGCTCTACTTCCAGTGATATCGAAGATATTGGAAAGTCTCATTGATGACCACATGAGAAAATACTTCGACGGGACTAGCCTCCTCTACGAAGCACAGCACGGTTTCAGGAGGGGAAGATCCTGCGTGACGAATCTTCTACTAGCTTGGAACGATTGGACACTATCCTGGGACGAAAAGGTGCCAGCCCACGTGATCTTTCTCGACTTTGCGAAAGCATTCGACACAGTTCACCATGGTCTGCTCCTTCACAAAATAAGCAAGGGAGGTGTTTCTGGGGCACTTCTCGCATGGCTGAATGATTACTTAGGCGAGAGAGAATTCTGCACCAAAGTCAACCGCATCCGATCATCCTGGCACACCTAGGCATCAGGGGGTTCCTCAGGGTTCTATCCTAGAGCCGTTGATGTTTTTGATTTTTATCAACGACCTGCCCTCTCAGCTGAACTGCTCTCAGCTTCTTTATGCTGACGACGTAAAGATTTAGAGAGCAATAAGCTCATCGGAAGACTTAGATAGATTGCAGGCTGACCTGCAAACTCTGGGAGACTGGGCTCTGGCTAACGGAATGCCTTTCAACCTAAAGAAGTTCAAAGTAGTGCAACTTCATTCCGACAGGTCACAGAGTGTAAATTACACCCTTGGTGGCCAGAAATTGAGTTGTGTTCCATCAGAGCGCGATCTAGGTCTTATTCTAACAGAAAAGCTAGACACCAGTGGAAATTACGCGAGGGACGTCGCCAAAGCCTACTCAACTTTACACTTAATGCATGGGCAGCTGGGAGCTCTTACTCCCGAACTGTTCTTAAGGTTATATAAGACATATGTGAGGCCACACCTTGAGGTGCATAATATCATTGCTCCTCCGCTACTCAAAAGGGATGCTAACATTCTAGAAAGTGTCCAGAGACGAGCCACAAAATGGGTGATTGGCCTCCGCAACAAATCATACGAGGAAAGACTAAAGAAATTAGGTCTTTTCACACTTAGTTACCGTAGGCACAGGGGAGACCTCATCACCGTCTACCAGATCTTAAATGACCAGGCCCACCCAAATAAAAGCATCCTGCCATTAAGTGATTATAGGCTTCCACGAGGTAACCCGCTAAGGATAGCACACCAGAGACCAAAGACTCGAGTGCGATCATATTTCTTTTCGCTTCGAGTTTGCCGTCTCTGGAACGCTTTACTGGCGGCCGTGACTACAGCGCCATCTGTGGAGATTTTTAAGCGGAAGCTAGACAATCATGCAGAAATGCAAGGTTTGTGTTTCAATGGCTTATCCTCATAAAACTTAAAACCACACTGTCAATGGATAAGCATGCAAACTAAATCCCCACGACCTGTTCTGCCTTCTCTCACTGTACCGACTACTCTATCTTTTCCTTAGGTCACCTTTATTATTTCACTTATCTCAACCCATATTATCTACACTACAACCTATTATTATTATTACTATTCTGCTTTTATGACTACACCGAATGACCAACGGGAGTTAGGTCAAACTCCATTCACGGCAGCAACACAGTCCTAACATACTGCATACTACAAACCACATCTTGACCAATCCCCGAACCACTCCTCTTGGAGTCTACCAGAGCTAAAGCAATCGAGTGGCGGGACTTACTACGCAGAAGCTCACCGAAGATCTGGAACCTCTACCTCACAATCAAGAAGCGAGCTCAAACAAATCACTGGTCTATACTAGCTCGTAATCAGGATATTGGACATTGGACTTCTAATGTACATTATTACAGAGGGAATGACTATAGACCTTCTGTTGGAATCACACTATAAAGAATGGGAAATCGAGTGGTGAAGATATTAGACATCAAAGATCACTCAATCCATAACGGACACCTGGATAAAGTGACAATAAATGAAATAATTCAGAAATAAGTCCAGGTAATACTGACAAAAATAACATCACAGAATCAGCTAGAAGGTCGCAGCTTGAAAGCAAACCGAGACATCATTATAAATACTCAAGGAGATATTCGAAGTGTGGCGGATGTGGTGATTGACAATTTCTAACTCTGTACTGTTTAAATAATTACTATTGCTTGCTAATATATTTCTTATACGAATTGAATAATAATTCCGCCAAATACAAATTCCTGGATTCCGCTCTCTCTGTGTTTTGGTTGGATTCGTGTAATTCGGTCATTGCGAAGTACTATAATAGCAACAGTAAGTCACAATCACCGGACTGGAAAGATAAAAAAGTTAAATATGTATTCAATATTCCCTGACGTGATTATGATCATAATCACGGCTTGTCGACAAGCCTAATCAAAGTGTTCTTTTCAGATTCAGATTTATTGGTTGGGGATAGAAGACTTGGAACCTATGTTTATCCTCTTCTAGTAAATTTCTGTGGTTGTCCAAACCCTTCTTGAACGAATCAGTTGAGGTTGCAGACACCACTTCTTCTGGGAGTCGGTTTCAAGAGTTTATGGCTCGATGTGAGAACCAGTACTCAACAGCAATATGATTTCCGCTTGGCTTTTGAACTCTCCTGCTATGTCCTCTAAGGTGTTCCCAACCTGGTGGGAAGGAAAAGAGAGAATAGGTTAGGTCCGTAGTCATTATTTAAAATTTTAAACATTGTGATGAAATCTACTCTCTGCCTACGGTATGACAGTGAGAAGAGATTTCAACTGTTTGGTCTTTCGTCATATGATAAGTTAGCTATACCGTGAACCATACGTGTTGCCTTCCTTTGAACACTTTCTAGAATATGAGAATCCCATTTTAGACAAGGACTGACGGCCTGGATGCAGTTTTCCAGTCTTACCCTCACCAGAAATGTATATAAGGAGGTGGACATATCTCTGGTGATTCTAGTGAATGCTCTGCGAATCGCCCATAAGGATCTGAAACCACGTGCAGCCACCGCGCGACAGTGTGCTGTAGTTTTGAAGTCGTGGCTAACTATGACACCCAAGTCCAAGTGAGTCTGAACTGATGGAAGTGTAGGGGACTAATATTAGAGTTCACTAACATTCCAAGTATAAAAGTAATAATCCAAGTCAGTGGAGTGTTAAATCACAATATATTACCAAAAATACAGTGACGAGTTATAGCAACAAAAAGGATTACTTGGTTACAAAGTGTAAGTCCTCGGCTACAAATTAATTATATAATCCACAGGCACGTTAACTGTTGGGACTGCGTCTGCTGTAGCTGCTGTGTCCCGGTTGTAGAAATGTCTTCGGATGAAAGTAGTAGGCTCCTACAATAAATCCAAAGTTACAACACGGTGTGAGTGGAGCAAGCAAGTAGAGGTGACCAGGGAGAAGACGAAGTCTCCAACAGCAGAGTGTATTTTTTCAATGGTACACGGAAATTATGTATATTTCAACAAGAAGCGATTTAAACAAAAATTATGTACAATATCTCGAATTTATACAAGTACCTAAAAAGTGTACAATCACATTGTTACGTACTCAACACGGCTCCCCCCCTAGAGGTCCGGAGAGACAACCGGAAAATGATACGTAAAACTATGAAGTAAGTAATAATAGTAATAGCAACTTTTGGATAAAAATAGGGATACATTACAACATGCATAAACGCGAGAAGGTATGTGAATCATGTAAAGTCTGAAAGCATATACAATAAGTTCAGCAATAAAAATTGAAATAGAAAGTCATGTCACTTAAATTTGCACTAACCATGAACGTAGATTTTTAATGTATAAAGAAAAATATGTAAATACACAGTAATTAAGGAGGGGAAAGAAACATTAAAAAAAAATATGGATTAAAGATCAGTAGTTTTTGGAAAGGACACTACCTGTTTTTTTGGTGAGGTACATATAAATAAATAATAGTGATAGTAACATCAAAGTTTACGACGAAATACTAACGGTCATGATGATAATGTCTAAACGAAAAAGATAATAATAATTTTTAATTATTTTTCTTTTGTTAGTCCTCAAAATGAACGTAGCGAGCCGGTTTACTGATTTGCCGACCACTACGTGTTTGATATGGAGGGAGGATAAGACTTGGTGCCGGTGGAGTGGAATCGGATGTTTGATTATTTGATTGCGCAGTTGCCGATGTAGATTCGAAGTCGTTGTCGGTGTATGCGGGTTTGATTCGATCAATGGAAATAGTCTCTCGTTTTCCATTCTTGTTCACGGTAAAGTGTTTGTCTGAACGTTTAATAACTTGAAAGGGTCCTTCGTATGGAGGTTGCAATCCTTTTCTGATGGCGTCGACTCGAATGAAGACGAATTTGCAAGTTTGTAGATGTTTGTTGATCTGATCTCGTCGGGGAGATTGTCGAGGTGCTGTGTACCGGTTGTAGAAATGTCTTCGGATGAAAGTAGTAGGCTCCTACAATAAATCCAAAGTTACAACACGGTGTGAGTGGAGCAAGCAAGTAGAGGTGACCAGGGAGAAGACGAAGTCTCCAACAGCAGAGTGTATTTTTTCAATGGTACACGGAAATTATGTATATTTCAACAAGAAGCGATTTAAACAAAAATTATGTACAATATCTCGAATTTATACAAGTACCTAAAAAGTGTACAATCACATTGTTACGTACTCAACAGAAGTGTTATTCCCTCTAATTCGTAGGGGCTTGTGCTTGATTGTCCAATGCACATGGTTGCACATTTTGCCACATTGATCGGGAGCATCTATTCAACGGACCACTGTGACAGTTTGTTGAGGTCGTCTTGCAACGTGAACGTATCACTGTTGCCCTCCAGCTCTCTCCAGATTTTTAAGTCATCTGCGTATAGGACCATAGGGGAGTCGGTGAGCAGAGGTAACTCATTGATATACAGAATAAATAGGAGAGGACCGAGTACCGTGCCTTGTGGGACTCCGCTACGTACTGCTGTCCAAGAGGAGAGTTTCGAGTTGATCCTAACCTTCTGCCTCCTATCTATGAGGAATTCCCTGGGCCAGTTTAGTAATCTGCCTTTGATACCAAGACTTTCCAATTTCATGTTTAGTCTTTTGTGAGGTACTTTATCAAAGGCTTTTCTGAAGTCTATGAAGATGATGTCAACGGGTCTTCTGTTGTCCTTTGATTTGACCCAGCTTTCTCTTGCAGTGAGGAGATTTGACAGGCATGAGAGGTTCCTCCGGAAGCCATTCTGTGCTCCAGATGACAAGCTGCTGTTTTCCAGATATGCCATGATGCTTTTCTTGATGATTCTTTCCAGTGCCTTGATTAAAGTGCTGGTGAGACTGATAGGCCTGTAATTTGAAGGGCTTTGTCTTGACCCTCCTTTTTGGATGGGGGTTACTATGGCGTCTTTCCAATCACGCGGTAACACTCCATTTAGGAGAGATAGCTGGAAGATCGTCGCCAAGGGGCCGTCTATGTGGGCTGATAGCTCCTCAAGAAGCCTTGGATAAAGATTGTCAGGACCATTGATTTCCCTGCATCTAGTTTCATTTAGCAGTTGAGTACGATGCCTTGGTCGATGTCAACGGAATCTATCCCATGTTTTTCTGATGTACTAAATTTATTTCTGAAGTTGCTTGACAGTCGTTTCAGTAATACAAAGTTGGACAGTGGGAAAGTAAGTTCATATGTCCACTTAATGTTCTGAGTTTGGTGGATATTGAGCGATTGCACTGCTAAGGGTTAAAACACTTGGGGCTCAAGCTTTTTGGTATACGTTGGGAGGATCAAATCAGAATAATGAATATTGTTAGAAATCGTTACTTGCATGTCTCTCGCGTACAGCAAATCAACTGTCTTTGCGAATAGGATTTAATACATCTTCAGTATAAACGTTTCTCAAGCACATCGTAGTTTCGGCAACCATCAATTCTTAACGTCAACCAAGCAGTTCGTGCCAACCTAAGTTCCTTAAAGCAACAATCAACGACCTAATGGATTCGTACTGTATCAACCTGACCACCTTACAACTGTTTTCCAACATCACTCTTCTTCATCTAACATTGTGCAAGGAGATAGTTCAACCGTTGCGTCGGTGGCACAGTGGTTAGGACTCTCGCCGACCATGCACATGATCCGAGGTTCGATCCCCTGCCGACACACACTTGATATCTATGGTCGGCCTGCAAAATTTGGGCTACCATGCTGAAAATTCCATACTTGTACCAAAAGTACAGTGTGGAATCAAGCTGTAATCAAAAATAAATAAATAAAATTGATGGAATGTGAGGATAAGGTCGTAATGTCCACCGCTGACTTCAAGGATAGAAGTGTGCTTCTCAAGAGAAGTTAGAGCAACTAAGATATTTTCTGGCTTTCAACTTTCGTCGTATTTTTTGTTGCTTATCTCGGTCTTCACTCAGAAGTTCAAAATAATTTTACCAAGCTCGGTAATACACTTTCCATAGTGAATACCAAAGATCGAGAGATACCGTCATAATTAGGTAGAACTGTATGATCCAAATTCTTGAGATACATTTTGGGTACGTAAACAGTTAATACATGCAAGAGCTAAACGTAGTTTTCACTCACTGGGTTTGTACTCTTGGTGACATGGCTTAAAATCGTTCACAGTGGTGGAGATGTATTAGGTCCTTGCAACGTTTCAGATTATTTTTAACTGTACCCTCACACTTGTTATTTAGCTATAGTATTATTTAGTGTATCACTTCTGACTTTTATGCTGTTCCATAGGGTGAGAACCTGAATTTGTGTATTTATGAATAAAATCATACTTTCATCTCTTTTATTTGGATGAATGCATTTAGATAATGTAGATTCCATGCAAATCAGTCCTTTCATTTTTAACCGATTCTACAGATGAGCATACTAAGTCGTATAAAAAGCATTTAGGTAGTGCTTTCGGAATTCTAATCGACGTTAGTCATCATGTTTTATAATTGCAGTTAGCACAGGAAGCAAACTTTTAAGCAAATGCGTGCTGGTGACTGGTGGTTTTAGTATAGTTGTAACCTTTCAGGATATTATTTAGTTTCATATAGCGTTGAATTCTTTTTCAGACTAGAAGTGTCTTTCGAGTTGACTTTGGTGTCAGTTAAAATGCATAGGATGAATGCTTTGTAAAAGTAGTGGTCGTATATTATATAATCGCCGAAAACAGATGTTTTACAAATATTTTGACCGATTACCTTAGTGATCGCAGAATACTTTGTATTGGCTGATGGAGTTTCAGAGTAAATCGCATGTAAAATTCTTTCGTGCTGTAAAAGCATTGATTTGTATGTTTACAGTATGAGTATTCTTCTCGTTCGTCCGCATCCATGTTTTGAAATTCGTGCGAGTATTATTGTTGAACTATGCATACATTTTATACATTTTTCGATGTGGTTATGTTTTCTGAGCTGGGCGGTTAAATTGTGAAGCTCAGAGGACACAACCGCATCAAAGTCATCCACCTGAGCTACAAGTTCTCTATTATTTCAAATACTGTTCGTATGCAGTTTAGTATCTAGACAGTTTCATTTGAGTAGAGTTTCTAAATATTATGTAATTGACTTGTGACTAAAGAATCATAACCGAATATTTCTGACTTTTTTATAGCTTCGTTTTCTGTGATTAAAGCTGGAGTGTCCTGCACGTCGAGCATTCTTTCTTAGCAATCAATATATTCGCTTAAAACTTAGATAAATCTCATGGGATACGGGCGCAGCAAAAGTCTACAATACCGACACCTGTATAATGTTTGTTTGAAATGGTCAGATGCTGAGTTATTTGAGTTGACTAATGCTTTAGAAAGGTTGGTTATTGTTACTACAAGAAATGTAAACCATTATTTCACCAGAGATATTTCATTTTCTTCATTTGAATTGGGACAGCTTGTAAGAACGAAAACATCAACTGATGTAAGAAGTATTATTTTTCAAAGTTCCGCAAGTTATGTTATGTTATTTCCTATGTTATTATATCACTTTCTTTACAGAATGGTTATTGTATTGTGTTTTTTGGAATCCAGTATAAGCTCTAATTTTGAGTATTCTCAATCAGTTGGCAAGATATTTTTATCCTATTTTCCCTGCTTTTTGATACTCATCTACGGTGCTTATCTGAAATGTGGGGTAAATACTCATTTTTGCGATTTTTAAGCCAAGTTGTTCAGCTGTACATTCATCAGTGTTGTAAGTAGCTGGTGAAACAGAAGAATAGTATTCGAGGGATTATTCGTGTACTGCTGTGTGTGTGTGTGTGTGGAAGTTATAGTAGGACGAATCCAAGTTCATTCTTATCCGTTACAACATTAGCTGTCATCCCCAACCACGTGGTTGTCATTTTTGTTGTTTATTATTCTGTGATGTTTACGTTTAGAAAGGTTGAGAATAGAAATTTCATTTATGGTTATCAAAAGAAGTATCGCCTGAAACATCTCTCCATTCATATGATGGAAATAATTCCAACGACATCAAGTATATTTTGCACAGATTATTTAGTCTTGACAGTTACTTTCTTTATGATTTTTCGGCGACGGGCGATGTCAGCTGAAATACGATTAGGTGAGAAAAGAGTTAGTTGCAGTCAAACCAGAGTCTGCTCTCAGTCCATGAAGTCTTTCTTAGTTCGAGTTACCTTGGCAGGTATAGACTGCTTGGCTGGGGACCTTGGAGATAATAAGTACCAATGTCATTCTCAGTGGTGCATTCACTGTTTGTAATTCCCCGTTTACATCAAAGTATCATGTCCTTCCATTTTACTCGTCTTCCTCGCCTATATTTTGAATTCGTTTTTTCTCCGCTACCATTGTGTGATACATGGGGTATGGCAACTCGAGCTGCTGCACTTTAGTGCAAAGTTCTGTGTTGAAACCCAGTCAGTCAATTCTTTATGGTTTTAGATTATCACACTTTTAATGATTTTCAGGTTGATGAATTTGTGGAGGCTCTAATGGATGTAGATGAAAGTGAGTTGGAAGGTATGTTATGAACCAATTTCCCCCAAAATTGAATACTTCCTGCAGGTCGAGGCGTTGTAGTTCCTGAGGGAAAACCTGAAGAACCAATCGATGTATGTTCTTTACATATTTTGCCAATAATATTTCTATGTGCAGATATTGTTAAGGAGTGCCAGATACTGTTGCACCGAACGATACAATAGTTATGCAGCAGTGAGTCAGGTAGGCCTTTTAGTATTCACATTGGTTGCTCTTCATTGAGGGTTGTGGTCAGTGCTATAAACAGAAATACACAGGACAATAAATATTTTAAATCTTGTTCTGGAGATTGAAAAATGCTTTCATTGTCAATACATTATTTTATATACATACTATCATCCTCATAATCGCACTTTATAAACAGCGACACTAGTGGATGATTTCAAGTTTGTGTTATATGATAATTGAAAGTGGTTTCCACATAAATCCAGAATTCTTTTGTTACCGTGTTTAATCATTTTTGTCAGGCTGTACGAAGCTCGAAAACGCATTTGACTGAAGTGTTTGTACAAATGATGAAGTAGGCATGTAATAGTGCTTTTGTTTTACACTTGAGTGATGGTCCATGTAGACGAAATAATTAATGAAGGAATTTCCCGAAGTTCATATAATAATCTTAAATTGTATGACCAATTAAGTTTGCAGTGTCAACGAATTTGCATAGAGAACAATAGCTGATATTAATTTATATTATGAATGAAATAAACTTGGGTAGATGTAGATAAGCTGCACAGCGATTTGGTCACTGAGTCAGCTCTCCCTAAAAGTCCTAAAACTGTTACTTCATCTTTATTATCCTCATTAATGCTTTGTTCTGCACAAACCTTGTGCCATATAAACACCAGAAAGTTTGACTTAAGGATACAAATGAACACAGCAGTTTTTGATGTGGTTTTGTTCTCTGAGCTGGATGGTTAATTTGCGAAGCTTTCATCACCCTACTGGATGACATCTTCAGCGCATACTTCAATTTGAAGTGAGCTTTTAGATTTCTCCACGAGTTTATTAATCATCTCTCCTGACGAGTGACCTTGGACGTGATTAGTTGTTTATGTGTGTTTTCACATCTTCTAGGTTACTTGTATTGGAACTGACTGTTTCTTTGACTTGAACTTTAACCCTTTGTGTGTGAAGTTTCTTTCTTATTGGTTAGTCTATCTCTGTGTGTCTATTGATTGATGATTCACTGGAATGCCAAGCTTCTAAAAATTCTCTAGCATTCTTGTTGTTTCCTCTGTCTAATATTTGAACGTTGTCCCAGTCAAATTGATGTCCGTGGTTGTCTGTGTGTAGTGATATGAGCGAGGGAGTGGATATCATGTCTTTTGATGGCTAACTTATGTTTGTGGATACGAAGACGAAGGGGACGTCCACTTTCCACTTGGCATTCCAGTGAATCATCAATCAATAGACACATAGAGATAGACTAACCAATAAGAAAGAAACTTCACACACAAAGGGTTAAAGTTCAAGTCAAAGAAACAGTCAGTTCCAATACAAGTAACCTAGAAGATGTGAAAACACACATAAACAACTAATCACGTCCAAGGTCACTCGTCAGGAGAGATGATTAATAAACTCGTGGAGAAATCTAAAAGCTCACTTCAAATTGAAGTATGCGCTGAAGATGTCACCCAGTAGGGTGATGAAAGCTTCGCAAATTAACCATCCAGCTCAGAGAACAAAACCACATCAAAATCATCCACCTGAGCTACAAATCTTCTCTATCATATCTGAACACAGCAGTATTTAGTAGCATATTGTTTATTTGCAGAATTATGTACGATGATAGCAAGATATAAAAATCTTAGGTTGAAATTTCATTTCTGAGAAGTTATTCGTATTCTTCTTCTGTTGTTGTCTTCATTTCATAGTTTCTGTATTGTTTCACAGTAGTCTGCATTTTTCCCCTTTACAAGTTAGTCTGTTGCTCTGCTATTTAAGATTGCTGCCACAGACCATGAGTATATTGCTTAGGAATTCTTGTAAGTAATACATGCCGCAATTACGGAGTTAATAAGATCACAAAGAACTAAAGGAGGATTAACCTAATACTATCGATTTTGAGAAGCTCTTATCTGCCCAATAATTTAAGACAAGATTGTGCAACCGAATAGCAAATAGTTTGGTCTTCAAAAGCCCATGATAGCTGGACACATTGATTTGTACTGTGTTTGAAGTAAATTCAGAACCTAACTAGCTATAGTTATCTCGATTTTCATAGCAATCCTCTCAAAGGAAAATATTGTATATGATTATTGTAGGCACAAAGTGTTCGGCATTTTCCATCACAGTATTCGCAAGTCGAATAGTTGAAATTAAATCTGACAGAGTCGTCTATTGTAGACAATCCTTGATATTCATACCGTTTCTTATCTTTGGTACGGTTAATGTAACGATATTACATGGTAGTTTAGTAGAAATGTCGCTTATTAATTTAATTATTTCCAGGTATGATGTCCAACTTTCTGAATCCATTGCACCTCCTTGAGCTTAAGTGTGACTGCATAGTATCACTGATTATTGCAAACATTTGTTACACACTGCCTAACTAGGACATAGAGGTTCGATTAAATTTGTAGTTGGGGGAGAACTTTTAATTGAAATAATAGTTTTTATAACTGAAGATTAAAATTGATGAGATCAAAGGAACGAAGGCTAAGGAGCCGAACATCGAATCAAGCATAGAATGGCAGTCAAGCTTCTCTCTACCTCAAATTCATTGACTTTGAAAAGGCCTTCGAGACGCAATTCGAAAGCTACTGCAACACTACGACATGTAGTGCCGAAATCTTTATCAACCTTATTCAGCAGCTGACTATATGACAATGCCACGCGTTAGCGAGGTGATCCACAACGGGATGCTCATCGAGGCGTTTGAGGTGAACACAGGAGTAAGACAAGCTAACTGTCTATTATCACCCACGGTGATTCTTAATTGTGGTGGACTGGATTATGCGTCAGATTGTGCTTGAGAGTGAGGAGACAGGAGTACGCTGGACCACCGATGAGAAGACTCTAGAAGATCTGGATTTCGCTCCTCGATGATTCACGTCTGATATCACGCAAACTCTAAGACTTGCAGGCGAAAAGCAACAAACTGGCTGAAGAGGCGAGCACGGAAGACAGGACTGCAGGTGAACACAGAGAAGATGTAGGTGATGAAGATAATCAGCCAACCACAGCAACAACAACAACCGTCACCATCAAAGGGAGAGATTTGACAGAGGTTACCTCATTGACTTATCAAGGAAGCGTGGTTTCAACTGCAGGCAGTCGGAACGGATGACTGCGTGAAGGCCAGTCAGACTCGGAAGGGCTAGATACGCCTTCATCAACCTGAAACCAGTTTGGAAATCTTCTGCACTCAGCATAAGGAACAAGATTCGCATTTTCAACATCAATGTGAAGGCGGTCTTTCTATACGGGTTAGAAACTTGCACTGTGTCACGGAAAGGATTTTCAACAGCCAACTGCAGACTTTTATTCCACAGCTGCGTTCCCTGGCTCCATAATGAAGATGAAATGGTCAGCCAGAAAGAATTATTAACAAGAAACTCTGACTGAGAACAAACCAACCGAGAGTCGATCGCTGAGCGAATATGTAGGCGAAAATAGAGGTGGATCTGGCACTTATTGAGGAGGCCGTCGAATGACATCGCACACCAGGCTATCACTCGAGTGGAATCCCAGTGGGAAGCGACAAGTGGATCGTCAGTGCGAGGGTGACATGGATGAGTTCTTGTTAGGAGGACGTTAGAGATTATGGACAGTTGCAGACCCAGCTGGAGAGGACGGCAGAAGATAGGACAAAGTAGATATGTGTTGTTGAAGCCCTATTTTCCTCTTGAATAATAATATTTATATTAAGGAGCCGAACAGGACTAATTCCACCGTAGAAGTTGATGTAACTTCTTTTGAAGACACTAACGACTTGTCCATGTATATGGTGGAGGCTACTGCAGTACAGAGAAGTCGGACACACAACCTTTTTTATATTTTCGTCCACTTTGTGAATAACTCACCATTCAGAGTCATTTTTACATCTTTTAATTACTAAGATAAGTGGACCATTCAAATTTATGTATGGTCTCGTGCACTCTTGAGTAAGTGTCATGTACGAGACTTGCATTTCGGAGTATAAGGTGAAAATACTGTTGGGCTCATGAAGCTAGTTTCTTCCGAATGAAGTAATGAAAGTCGACCTGCTCCTAACTTTCCGGAGCTAGTGAATGAAGGCTTTCTGTCATGTGTTGATGGATGCATCTAACTGAATTTTTTTGACAGAATGTCTTGGTATCATATGCACCATTAGTAATTATTTTATGAAGTACTATTGGCTATATATATACATATATATATATATATATCCATATAGATATATGCATAATTTTCACTATAAGTACCGGATAATTTGTTTTAGGTTTTACAAAAGCTTTACAGACGGGAAGAATCAGATTACCGTGCAGCGCGTAAGAAATATCCAAACCCCTCATACCTACCTCATGGACAATTGTATCGCTTCATGATGGCACTGGTAGGTGGACAACCTTTACCAAATCTATCTGATTTGTCTTCTGGCGCCATCCTGGACTTTCTAACTTGGTATGTTCCTCAGAGTTTATTATTGGCTCGTTTTAGTTCCACTTTTTATTAAAAGCAGTAGGCAGTTTTATTTCCTTCATAATCTTTATAAGTCATTTACGTTTATCTGTTTTGATACCTTTGCGTAGAGCTATCAGTTATTAAATTTTATTATTTACACTGTGTATTCCATAATGGCGTTTATAAACTAGTGGCTTCGTTATGACTTCCAAGGCTACCCATTTTTCTTTCCATGTGCCAAAAAGTTCTTATGAGCATAAACCTGTTGCCTAAATTGTGTTATAAAGATTTTGGATTGTTTGCAAGTCGATGAGTGGAAACAATGGAAGACTGTCAACTAGGAAGATAAGGCGTTTCAATTCCCAGTGGTCTGTAATTCTTCCACTGTATTGAAAAACTATACGTTCCCTCTTGTCCGTTGATTTTCGCTATGAGGTAAAGTCTCAATACCTGTTCCATGTTCTGATGTATCTTTTTATACATACTGAGGATATTTTCTTCAATTGGTACTTCCCAATTTCACATTAAAAAACCCTTTTGAGATTAGATATCTAATCTCAAATGTAATGTTAGAAATATATATATGTATATATTGACCCGTTTCTCTGATTCTACGCTTTTTCACTTTTCTTTCCATAGTTTGACCTCTATCGTTTCCATAGCCTTCAACGCTGATGATGGAAAAGACGATAATAATTCTGCGAGATATCCTGTTCCTACCCGAATGAGGGAACAAATTACAAATGTTACAGAAATGGTCAAACAGAAAGTCGGTGTATATATGGCACTTGTCGGTGCTATACACGCCAGTTCATTTCTTAGTATACGGATGAAGTAGCCCTTAAAGGAGATTTTGGTAAACATCCTCTTACTCCACTCCGTCTACTATGTCAAGTCAAGCATCCTGACACAATTTTAGGATATCCTGCAATGGTGGAATACTTGGTTGACAAGTACGCAACAATTTGGGATAGTAAGTAGTTTTGTTTAGCATTAAATTAAAGATACCGAGAAATATATGCTACAGTTAGTTGATTACAGTAAGGCATTTTATTTCTAAATTCATGTTAATACTAACTGGACTGAAAATGAATTCTATGTACGAATTCTTACCAAGCTTATAGTATATTCAGACCAGAGTTCTTTCAGAAACCCGTAGAGGAAGCGCGAACAAGTTGTCATTCCAATGAAATATGCTCTAAATTCACCTGAGAATTCAAGATTAGGAAACGTTTTTTGATAGTTGTGTTCAAGTTCGAACTCATGTTTGTTTTTCAAACTCAGCTGTTACACATAATTACATAAGTGCTATTCATTTTTATTGAATTGGAAACTTTAAAGAAAACATCCTGACATTTGATGAAAGTAGTTATAGCCAACGAAATACGATTAAATAGATCACGCATCTATGTGTTTAACTTCCGATAATTTTACTTTAATGATCTTTCATTTTTTATGAGTATAAACTATTTCGTAGAACTGCAGAAACAGTGTAAGTATTTGGCTAGGAGTGGATCTACAAAATGTCAGGAGATTCTTTGACTAGTTCGCAAGGACTTGCAGGTGTAGAGAAAGTATTGAGCGGAAAAATACCTAGTTGATTGGATCCTGGTGGATGTATGCTATCCAAGTGGATGGATCCGTTAGGAGAAACAAAGATTGTGACACCCGTCCATGTTTTCCCATAATCTTTACTTGTACCTCAACAGACTGCAGTTTGGACGAAGTAAAGAATGACTTCTATCACAAGTTGTCTAATTTCTTGCTAAAAGTGAAGCTGTCAGACATAGTCGTAGAAATCGACCCCAATGCTTAAGTAGGCAAGTTGTGCCATTCAGAAAAGTATATTGGTGGTAGTATCTCTGGAGTCCCATGCCGGTAAACCACCAAAGGTGATCGTCTTCTACAGTTCTGTCCAGTTGATCATCTGTTCCTCATTACTACTAACTTCAGTCATAAGGAGAAACATTGCCTTACTTGGCGACCAACATAATGAAATCAACAACGGACCCAAATAGATTCTGTCTATTTTCGACATAAAACTTTGCACATGTGCGACAGTTCGAGTCGCCACACTCCTCGTAGCACACAAAGCGTCGGTGGCACAGCGTTTAGGACTCTCGCCAACCTTGGGTTCGAGCTCCCGACGACGCACACCCGATATCTATGGTCGGCCTGCAAAATTTGGGCTATCGATACCACATGATGGAAATTCCATACCTATACCAAAAATACAGTGTGGCATCAAGCTATAATCCAAATATCAATAAAATCAGAGATGCATAATGCAGACAGTAAACAGAGGTGTGAGACAAAGAAATAGTAGTAACGAAGAACAATATAGTTCCATTGGAAATCATAAGTCACAAGGAGTGGATGCATCTGCACTATGCATTGATCACGATATTGAGCCATGTCACCAACTGTTTCCAGCCTGCATTGGTTTTTACCATCCCGAGGATCCCAACCCGGAGTCTACACCTTCCTACGTGGCTTAAACTAACTGTGGTGGATTTGATTGACTGGTTCCATGTTTTGGTTTTACCACCGCTAGCTCTTTTCCAGTCTGACCCTTTATAAGCTAATATTGCTATGCATGCGTAACACATATCCTAACCATCTCAGTCGATGTAATTTCACAGCCTCGTCGATTGATTACCTCTGCTTACCTAGAACTCGACGCCTAACCTCAATATTGCTCACCTTATAATGCCACTTCACACGGGAGATAGAACGCAGGCACCTATGATCAAAGACGGCTAATCTTTCCATGTCTTCCGCTTTTTGTGGGTAGGTCTCACAGCCATAAAGGAGGACGGAGCGGACTGATGAGCAGTACACCCCCCTTTGTTCGATATCCAGCCAGATATCACATCTACGCCAAAGACAGCGTAAACTGGTATATGCGAAACTAACCCTCTGTATCCTTGCTGAGATTTCGTCACAGATGAACCCGTTGGAGCAGGCTGATTCGACGTCCCAAATAAGTGAAGTGGTCAACGTGCTTTACCAATTTACTCTGTTTTTAAGCTAGTAATCAATGTAGTCCATTGTTGTAGCATCATCTTGCATTTGGCGGGAGGGAATCGCATGCCAAACATTCGTAGATTGCAGCTCAAGGTGTTCAGAAGACTGCATTTTTCAGCGTCCGCGCCTAGTAGGACTATATCGTTTTCATATTTTTAGTCAACGATATTATTCCCTGGTAGTAAGTCAATCCCTGAGTCTCTGAAGTGAGTCAGGGTTAAGTCCATCAGTACATCTGTGGTGAAGTTGAATAGAAATGGGGATAATGGGCATCCTTGACGGACACCACTAGTCACTACTCGCCGTTGGCTTTTCGTAATCTTCGCCTACGCCCCCACTGACTGCAGTTCAGATGAAACGAAGGATGAGTTCTATCAAAAGCTGTCTAGTTTGCTGCTCAGATATAGTCGTTCTAGCTGGTGACTTTAATGCCAAGTAGGGAAATTGTGTCATTCTGAGGAGGATGTCGGTGGCACCTATGGAGTTCCTTGCCAGTATTAGGTAAGAAAAGAAAGTTAATCAGTCAAGTTGTGAATATGAATTGATTGACCTGGGTATGACACGTGTTGAGCGTTCCGAGCCATCGCCTCCCTCAACAGTCAATGTTAGGATTAAATGGAAAAAGAGTTTGGGATGGTCAAACCGAAACCTGGTATTAGTGCATGAAAGCCTTGACAGTTAGTTTGAGCCAGTTAAGCAGGTGTAAACTTTCTTTTTGGTGTCTTCGAGATGTTGAGAAGAGTGGTTGGAGATTGTTGGTGATATGGTTCGAAATCATTGTCACTGGTCAAGAGACATTGACTCTGTGGGATCTCCCAGATCCATTAAGTCCTCACTTTTTCTGTTACGATTCTTTCAACTTCACATTTCTGCTTATTGAAGTTATTATGAGTCTCTTTTTTCTCCTTTTATTGCTTTTATGGAGTGTGTGTACTTGAAGTGCTGCACTTCTATGCAAAATTCTATTTCGAAATTCGGTCTGTCAGTCAGTGAGGTTACTTTTAGAATGTTGGGTACGGAAGGAAAGTCGATCAGTGAGTTTTCTCTAGCTCCATCGATTGTGATGCCTAGAACATTTATTATGCGTATTGAATTTCAGTTAGTAGTAGAATGTTTTGTGAGGATATAAGACTTGATTGTGTGATACAGCAGAGTTTTTTTTAAGCAAAGCAATTCTCGCCTTTGCCAACCACATGCTTATTGTAACAATAACTGCTTAATTTTTCTATCATTCCTTTCATACTAGCATACGCGATACATCCGTAATTTCGTTATTGTCAGATTAAATTTGGATAATGATCATTTCAAATAATAAATTCAACTAGTAGAAACTTGAAGTCAAATTTGAATATTTTACATTAGGTCTATCTAAGATTACTTATTCTGTAATAAACTTACTAATTAGCACTAATATGCGTATTTGAAATATTTTTGATCATTCTACAGTACCGCATATTCCAGGCGCATGTTTCTCCGATGAGACGAATTCCGAACCCGTGTCCCTTGGTTTATTACTCTCTGTACTGAAACGTGTTTTAGCGTTTTCACTCAACCCGTTTACTTTCACACAAGGGATGATGGCTCAGTTTCAAACCATTTTGAGTGATTTTCATTCGCTGTGTTCTAGTAGATCACAACTGTCGAATTTTTTTCGAACATGGGCTACAATCAATATAAAACAAGTACGTTACTTCTCAACATGCCCATTGCCTGTGGAAGTTATTCCTCGTAAACGTTCAAGGGAAAGCTCTGTTGAGGGTGATCAGGCAAAGAGGTGCTGTACTGAAAATCCTTCAATTACGAATGAGTTGGAAACAGAAGAGCGCTATACAACGGAAAGGTAAGTCATTTAGAAGAAAACAGGCTGTGTAGAAACTATGCATTAAAATTGGTGTTAGATGATTGATTTAATTATATCAAGAGTTACTTGACCTTCTTTTTTGCTCAATAACGCCGTACCCCTTTGTGCAGAAATATTTAAGAATGGTTATTCTTAGCTCTAGCATATTGTTTATTTATTTATTTTGCTTCACAAAGTTTGTTATTTTATTTTTGAAAAAACCAATTTTGTAAGTGCCTTCCAGAGGTTGGTATTCTTCATTTTCAATTGCACTTCCTAAAATGGTCACCTAGTTTGATGGCGGCATTGTAAAAATTACTGATGGATTTAAGTCAGTATGAGCTTTTAGAGATGAGTTTGCAGAAAAATAAGTTTATCTCTGCTGTAATATTTTAATGTTATGATAAGGTGTGTTTAATTCATGGATTGCTTGTAGGTGTTCCTCAGGGTGCTGTTCTCTCGCCGTTTCTCTTTTCCTTCTTCTTACATGACTTAACTCTCTCAGACGAAATCAACTTCGTCAAATATGCAGATGACCTGACTGTTTCGCTTCCCGTTAAGTCTCAGTCAGATTGCTTCAAATTAAATAGCTCCCTGTCAGTGGTCAGAACTAAATGGCCTCATGCTGGATCCCTCAAAATGTCTGACTATCGACTTCTCCTTTAGGCATAAACGAGATCTACAAACACTAGTAAGCACTCATGATGTCTGTAGAATTGAGGGGACTATAATTGAAACAAAGTCTAATGCAAAATACCTCGGATTAGTTCTATCTTCCGACCTTACTTGTTCATCTCATGTCCAAATGATTTCCAAGAAAGTGTTTCATCTAATCTACTTCATTAAAAAGTCAGACTAACTGGAGTCACTCAACTTCTGCTTTCACAATTTGTCAACTCTTGTATCCTACCTACTCTACTTTACTGCTCCCCATTAGTCTTTCCTGGGTTACTGAAAAAGGACTATACCATCCTGAGAAGGATGTTGAAGGTAGTTAGTAGGACTAGCGGTGTAAAACTCAGTCAGCTCGTCACTACATTAGTGGATAAGCATCTGAATGCATGCGAAAAATGTTCTAAAACCATACTCTCCGACCCCGAACACCCCCTCTATTCCCAACTCTCTCCTTGCATCTCATCAGGTAGAACCAGAAATCAGTACAAAATAATATGTGCTCGTACAAGCAAGTATAGGAACTCAACGATACCACATTTTGCCCGTGTTCTAAGTGACAGAGACAATGTTAAGCGTGAAACCTATGACTTGGTTTGTTGTTAATAACATAATTTTGGCCCTTGTTATTTCTCCATTATACTCTCTTATTCATACTCTATAGTGAACAACCTTCTTAAACATACTTAGCTGCTTAAAATTATTATCATTGGCTTACTTTTTATTCTTTACTCTATTCCTTCTTTTGTATATCTACTGGATCCGACTATATTATCACTATGAGTATTACAAAATTGTCCTGTCATTAACCATCATGTAATATTAGTTTTGTAGTTGTTCTTTGTTCGGCACTATTTAACTGACAATCTTGTTTATGAAACGCCACTATCACCATCTTAAAATTTTATTTTATGCAAGATTACTCACACTACCACGACAAACACTGCATTAGTGCTGACAATAAAAAAACCTGAAATGTTTATTTTATGATTGTTTAGTGTAGTTCAATCAAATTAACTGATCATCTTGGCTATAAACATTCTTAAGAACATCTCATAATTTCTTGTATGATTATAGCTGTTAGTGTTCACCACCCATACACATATCATAGCTTCCACTACCCAATACTGAAATATTTTTTTCATTATTGGTGTTTATCTTCCTTTTTACTTGGTATTTTTATTTGCATTTTTTGTTATTTCTGTGTTGCTTTCTGGATTTTGATTTTCATATTTTTATTTATTTTTTTGTAATACTCCTTTTAAATGTACGATGAAATTAGATGCAATATTGTAGATATGTGCTGAAAATTCCACACTGTAGCACAAGTAGTATTTCTGGAATAAAAGCGAAACTGTTATGTTACGTTATGTACTTTTTGGAATTGTTCGATATCTGTCGTACAATAATCATAACATTTAGTTTGATGCTTGAGCTTTGCTGACAAGTCATTCTTTACAGTAGTGCGAAATAGCGAAGGAGTTCCAAATGATATAATGATGCTTTGTTGTAATTTTTTTTACTAGGGCTACGAGTGATCAGGAATCTACAGCTCCTGTTACTAATGTAAAAATGGAAGATCCCAAAAATGTTGCACTAACGGTATGTTTTTTCACTGCACCTACGAAGTTGCTTAACATATTTTCCAACCCAGAAAACATTTAATGCCTTTCTTATGCTTTGTCCTATGACTATCTGTCACACCACCAGAGATATTTGTAATTCTTTATGTACGAAGCGTGATCCGTTGGATTGAGCATACGACGTTCTGACGCAGCTCACATTTTGATTACTTCAACCTGAACAACCGGTCATTGTCATAACTGGCACGCACGTTTTAGAGTAAAAAAGCCTGTGCTGGCAAGTTACACAAAAATATAATTCACTATGCATAAGCTTCCTATAGTCTAGATATGATTACGAGTCCCGTAGGCCTATTCAGCGTATATCATCAAGTTTTCTAGGTAGACTAATTGAGTCTGTCTAGTAGCACTGATGGTTAGGGTTACTAACGTTCCTAGTCCTCTCTTACTCAAAAAGCCAAATTACTGTTTTGGTGCGAACAGTCTCATTCAGGAATATAAATATTTGTAGCCTGCCGGACGCATGCAAAATATTACATGTGAAAATATACTACACTCCCAGGGACTCAACAGGAATGACGCTTTTGTAGGCAAGTAACGTCTTAATGCCAATAGGTCTGATGTTTTGTTCGCCCAAAAACTAACACATCCCCTATGGTAGTTCACTTTTAGCTTTAGAATTATTGTTTACTTATAAGAAGGTAAGAGAATTAACTATAGACTTCTCGATGTACGCACAGTGCTAAATATTTCAAGAGTTGTATTCAACAAAATGCATGGATGAAGGTTAAACTATTTTTTAAAAAGTAAGCGGCACTGCTTCAGCTTATTTATGCAAATAGTATTGCTGCTTTATCAAGTGTTTCAGTTTGTAAATGTAAATTGGTATCAGGCGGGGTGGCGTGGTGGTGGTCGAATAGAAAATGCAACTGAAAAGGTGGCACATGTATTTCCCTGTCAAACGGAACAAGTAAATCTGAGTAATCAACTTCATGATACGGAAGGGTTATACAATAGACCGATCAGTAGCAAGATGTTACCATGCTGGGAAATTGTTTTTTTTTATCACAGCACCATTATGGTGCATACAAATTTTTAATCACGGAAATAGCTTCCGTAGTGTAGTTTCTTGTATATAAATACATTACATGTGAACAGTCATTTTCCTCTTATTATTGTTATTATTAGTTATTATGCTGGTTTGAACATTTTACTTTTTATTGCTTTCATGTTAGTCGAATCGGTACGTGAAATGGTGTCCTGGAACGCACTTCGTTCGTATAAAGGAGAAAGGAGAGATTGAAAATGTCAATGCAATTGTAAATGCTGTAAGCAGTGATATTTTATGTGAGAGCTGTTGAATTCATATTACTTTGCATGACTGTAGATATTGGGTCTCGTAACTAACTGTTTGACTGAAGTTGAAAGTTAAGACTGCACTGAGGAATGAGGTTTCTCAATATAATTACACTATTCATTTGTAGTGACTTATGTCAATGAGCCAAATCTCCACAGTTTCCCTTGTAACCAATACACCTGGAAATACAAGGGTTTTCCTTGACAACCTAAATTTTAATCATCTACTACGATTATGGTGCTTTTATATGTGTAGTGCAAAGCCCCTCTTCAGTTTATTGAAGATATACCAATGCCTTGTTAACGTTTAAAAGAGTGTTCTGTCATTGCGTGCACTAAAAGACATATACATACTAGTGACGATAGTCTTGACAAGCGGTATTTATTCAAACAGAACTGGTCTCATTTCTTAGACCCCCAATCTCATTATGATAAGTATGAATCTTCCTTTCTGAATCAATCGTTGATTTTGTTCACGGCTTATTCTTTTTCTTTCAGCGTTTTAAAGTGAAAACTGAGGAGACAGATTTTTCAATGGAATTACACAAGAACGCGACCAAGTAATAATAGTGTGAAAACAATGTACAGAAGTTTGAGTTTCAAATACAGAATTTTTGTGTTAACTGTACTTGTGTTGTTGTACGTGCGTGCGTTCTTATCATCTGTGCAAATAATGTGTGTGGATTTCTTTCAGTGGTGGTGTAAAGAATTTCTCAGCGCTTATATAGATAAGTTGGACTATGAGAAAAAGTGACTGATGTGACCAATTCTCAGTTGCAAATAAACATTTTATTTGAAAACTCTGTTATCATCTGAGTCAGTGGAAAAAGTATTGAAGAGTATCGATTACAGATATCTTTCTGTATAGCGTACGCACATGTCAATCATTTCAAAGCGACGATCTTTGATAAACAATAAAGGCGAAAAAACCTGCTAACGTTGAAAATTCAGACAGACTTTCACAAAAGTGAAAGGGCGAATGCGCCAACGTCTGGGGCTTACAATCGGGCTGGTGGTGGAAGTGCTGGTCTACCTAGGTGAGCTGAGATACCCTGATTCCAAACGTATACTGCACATGGGCATCAGAATCCGGAAACCATGGGAACTAACTTTTGACTGTTCCACTGTCTTGTGAATCAGACTTCAAGTAAAAGGCTGTGGAAGTGGCCCATTAAGACAACCAGCATCTTGGAAGTATTCTAGACCTCACAGAAACGTTGTGTGGCGCATTTCTTGTTGCTCACAGTCTTCTAACAGTAAATATAAAGGCTATTGTACCATTCAGTTGAGAAATCCAATTCGTTACATATATTTAAAAATGTGAAGATTAAACAATCATTGAAAAATCATGAAGGACTTACTTTTCATCTTTAATATATGTATGTAGAGACGTCGTATCTGGTCGGGGTGCACAAAGCACATAAGAAAATAAGCACAGCCAAGACGAAAAGAGATGGGTACACATAGCGCGTAAGGCGACTTTTCTATCTAATGCTATGAAAAGAAATAGACGCAGTTTATTATTCATTGTGCAGTGTACTTATACATGACATAGCTTCTTTTAAATTATGAAAAGTGAATGATCGGCTTTGCCTCTGAAGTCCCATTGCTGGAATTCACTGCATTACTTACCTAAGGCGAAGGGTACTTTTTATGATGTATGTATATATATGAATATTCAGTCTTGTTATATATTCTCATACTGCTCTGCCAGTTGCAGTTGGGAATCGTGTATAGTGATAGATTTAAGGTTTGTTCACTGAGTTTATTTCGGCGAAAAATGCGTTTAAATTCACTGTGGCATGTTTTCCCACATAACTATGGTTACTGGAGGCATTACCCAGGTTAATTTTGTATTACTATAACATTTATCCGACCTTGTGTGGTGAAATTTTTTTTAAAATATTAAGTTTTAGCAAGTAGGCATAAATTCCGTATTACATTCATGTGTTAAAGGATAATAAAGTATTTTCATTTGAACTGAAAGTCTTTCTTTAAATCATCCACATTTCGTGAGGCCTACCCTGTGAGTATTAAAAACCAAGAGTGGGTTATTTCTTTGTACATTCAGAGAGATCAATGTGATGAACTGCCAAAACGCCGAATTACACTATATTTATTTAAGAGTATTAACAAAGCTGTTGCATTTAAAATGTGTCAGGTATTTGATTGCTGCAGTTTAATTAAAACAAAATTTTCACTTGGTTCTAAACTGAAATGTTTAGGGGAATAATTTATACACATACTACAAGGGAGATTTCATGAACAACTTATATTAGTTAGGCAACAATTAAAAAGGTCGGGGAACTAGACAGATGAAGTAAGAGTCTAGAGCTTATTGGCCTACTGGTGGATACTGATTTGTGGGCACGTGCTAGTGAATTTCATTTCACAATGAAAAACAGTCCAGCCCAGTGTCGGCCTGTTTTCACTGGCCGTTTTCACTAACGTTAATTTTTCACGGAATGTGTCAAAACAAAAAATATCATGTTACTGATGAAACTCTTTTTAAATGTACAAGTTTTACCAAATAGTGGACTAATATAATGCGCTAGCAAATGAGGTACACTTGAAGGTAATCCAATAGGTACGAGCAATGGTGAAATTGCCCAAAGTAGACGAGTAGGTAGCATGAACATCTTGTCGATGATTTAAGATTTCATCGTGTAAGATCTCTAAACGATTGCGCAACCATCAAGGAGATCCAATGAGAATAAGTAAAATCTGTCTGTCTGGATTCAACATAGAACTTGACACCGAATTGCAGCAGTTCGAGTTGCCACGTTCCAATTGGCACACAAGGTAGAGAAGAAGATGAGTGAAGAGAATCAATAGAGTTTGACAAATATAAGAGTGAAACAGAATGGGTTATTGTAGAAAGGAATATGAAAGATTACAGAGACTGAATACATCTGCGCCATTGAGAACGATTTTGAGCCATGTCACCTACTGTCTCCAGCCATTGATTCCTAGAGTCCCGAGGGCCCCAACCCGGAAGTCTGCATCTCCCTACCTGACTGACTCAGTTTAACTGTCAAGGATTTCATGGATTGATGAGGCCATGTTTTTGTTTGGCCACCACTGGCTCGTTTCCAACCTGAACCTATATCAGCTAGCAAAGCCCGTCGGGGGAGGCGGTGGTTAGGCATGCGCAGCACGTGACCTAGCCATCTTAGTCTATGTAACTTTATAGCCTCGTCGATTGATTTTCCCTCTTTGCCCAACACTCTACGCCTAACGAATAAGTAAAATAGTTGGTGATAAGGCGTTGTTCTCTAAGCTAGCCATAAAGCAGTCCGCTAGGAGGGGTCCTAAGGGAGAACCCATTGCTACTGCATGTATTTGCCTGTATATTTCCTTGTTGAAACTAAGTTATACGTTGAAGATGCATCGAAGTAAGTGTTCTTTCAGGTAATGTATCGGTATACCGACATCGATGCTATTGGAGTGAATGTAGCCACAAAGGAAACATACGGTTTCTTTCAGTGGAACGTTGGTTAAGAGAGATACGACATCCAGGGAAACCATTTTCTTTTCTGCCATATTGACATTCTTAATTGAATCAACAGAGTCGAATGTATCATGGAGGTTGTTTCTTGACAGCTTCTATTTCACTGGCCCGAGAATCTTCACTAGGCATTTGTATACAAAGTATGCAAACCAAGAGGAAGAAAATGACTTGTGCTTGCTGCAGACTTCGCCAAAAACCGATGAACAAAACATTATCTGGATTAGAGCATGAGCAACAAAAAGAACGGAGGATTACTTTATCCTGAGGTTTCTAGTCAGCTGGATGAAGACAGTAGAGGAAATACACTCACATAGACTGTGGATGTGAATGTCAAACTTCGTTTCAGGCCCTTTGACAATTCGTCAGTAAGACTTAGAATCTTGTTTTTCTTATACCAAATGAGCCTTTGTCGCTCAATGCAACTTTTGGACCTTGCTTTACCAGATTAGGGTGGAACTTGCAAAACACTTATGTCTCTCCTTCAGCTTTTCGGGGTAAATTGTATTCTATCGGAATTTCCGCTTTACATTTCCTATGCAATAATCTTTGCAGGAAAAAGTGGTGAATTGTATCTACCTCTCAAATGAGATATTATCCCAGTGATGCCATCCAGTTCTGTTCTTTATTATAATAGAGGGAATTGTGTTCTTCCACTTTTTCATCTGTCGATTTTTCCTTTTATGTGTTATGTTAATTTGTGTAAGCCTCAATTTCAGGGTAATTATCTTCCCTATCAAATCTATATACTTCGACATTGTAAGACATAATGTGATGTCACATGACCTTGACTTTCAGTCTGTTTAACGATCAGTAGTGATGCATGCACACAGTTAACTTGTTCAAACTTGTCAATAAATATGATAACAACGTCTATATAAGTTAGGCAATAAACAATTATGAAATTTTCTAGGGTAAAAGTAGTATAATACTAAGATAAATTGAAACAGTTACTCATAGATTTACTTACATCCTGAATAGGCTTGTAATCAGGATCATTAAAGTGATATATATAAAGCATAGTACTCCAGGACGTAGTACGCTTCGACCAATTACAAGCAATGATGCTGTATAAAATATATACAGCTTACTAACTGGCCAATGGATAAAAGTAAAGACTACTGGAGCATAATGAAATACATTTGTTCGTTGAGTTACAGTTGCGTTGAAAAGAGCCTGAAAAATGAAGTGATAGGATAGAAATGTTACTGTTCAATGCATAAAGGTAAAGTAACTTTTCACATTTAATTTTCCCTGACAATGTTATTTGCTTTGCTTTGGATGAAACACAGTGAAATATAACTATAACTGCGGACTTTGAATGTATGATACATAACGGATGAACAAACCAGCTTACCTTTAATCAATAGCTATGTGGTTGGGAAGCGAATGCATACGCTAATAAACTACATGAAAGGTTGTTACTACTCCTAATGTTATAGAACCCACATTTTAAGCATAACACTGTCATCAAGAGTAGTTTTTCAAGTAAGTGCAGTTTCGTAGGACATTATGATATGGAATTTCAGTCACCATATGAAGCTATCCAGCTATCTTTCATTGGACTCTTAGGTTATTTATCCACATACAACTGCTGACCTATAAAACGAGATTTTAAAGGTACAACTTAGGTTTTTCTAAATTCAGTCCTAATCGCCTTCCAATGGGGTAAGTTGGCTTTGATACCTTTGACGACAGCTTTCATCACTGGTAGAGACTACTAGTGATCGCAGATCAGTCATCATTGACTTCCAGAACGGTCAGTGGAATTATTTATCTTCTTTCTGCCATTCAAGCCTGCATTCACGTGGATCACAATGAAATCGGCTACAGGCGGTGTCAGTACATACAGAAACGCCACATCTATTTGGGTAGACGTCTGGAAGCCATTAATGCTTTAATGTGTGGTGTGTTTCTCTGGCATTTTGTCAGTATAAACAGACTGACTTCAGTGTACTGATGCAGATAATACTGCAGTTAAGTAAAAAAATCTAGCTATCAATTAGCCAGAAGGTATCACATTTACAAAATGACATGAAGACAATGAAGTGCAGTT